CATTGACTTCTCTCAAGGTATGAAAGTTCTAGATGGTATCTTATTCCAAAAACAGGCTACTTCATCTCCACTGAAATTCTGTTGTTGAGTACAGCCACCTTCATCAACTATCTTAGCCAGCTTTTGTGTAATAATTTGCTGCAGCTTTTCCATCAGCACTTGTTACTTCACCTTGCACATCTGTGTTACAGAGATGGCTTTTTTCCTTAAACCTCATGGACCAACCTCTACTAGCTTCCAACTTTTTTTCTGCAGATTCCTCATCTCTCTCGGCCTTCACAGAAATGAAGAGTTAAAGACTTGCTCTGGATTAGGCTTTGGCTTAAGGGAATGTTGTAGCTGGTTTGATCTTTTGTCCCAACCACTAAAACGTTCTCCGTATCAGCAATGAGACTGTTTCACTTATCATTTGTGTGTTCACTGGAGCAGCACTTTTAATTTCCTTAAAAAACCTTTAGTTTCCTTTGCATTCACAACTTGGCTAACCAGCAGAAAAGGCCTAGCTTTCTGCCCATCTTGGCTTTCAACATGCCTTCCTCACTCAGCTTAATCATTTCTAGCTTTTGATTTAAAGTAAGAGATGTGCAACGGATTTAAAGTGAGATACATGTAACTCTTTCTTTCACTTGAACACTTAGAGGCTATGGTATGGACATTAATTTTCCTAATTTCAGTGTTGCTGTGTCTTAGGGAATAGGGAGCCCTGAGGAGAGGGATAGAGGGAGAGGAACTACTGGTCGGTGACAGTCAGGACACACACATTTATGGATTAAGTCTGCTGTCTTATATGGGCATGGTTTTTATGCCCCCAAACAATGACAATAGTAACATTGACGGTGACTGATCACAGTTCACCACAACAGATAGACTAATAATAAAAAAAAGTCTGAAATCTTGCAGGAATTGCCAAACTGAGAAACAGAGACAGGAAGTGAGCCCATGGTGTTGGAAAAATGGTGCCCATAGACTCGCTCAGCACGGGGTTGCCACAAACCTTCAATCTGTAAAAATACAGTATCTGCCAAGCACAATAAAACAAAATGCAGTAAAATAAGGTAGGCCTGTGTCTGACAACTGTCAGGAAAGAAGTCTCCTAGCTACCCCTTAAAGGGCAAGTGATTTCTAAGCCTGAGGTCTGGGACTGAAGAAACAAAGTCTATCTCTCAGAAGGCAGTCATCATTATAATTCTCGCCTACCTTGTAGCAATCGTATCTCTCATAGGAGGTGCCCCCAGGAGAGTCAGGGAAGATGTACGGCTGTGGATGCTGACAGAACCAGAATTCTTCCTCAGCCTCCTTCAGCAGCTGGGTGGCCTTCATCATATCCTTTTCATTCTTATGTTCTTCAAACCGGGCTCTCATCAAACAAGCAAAGTATCGGTATTTGTCTCTTAAACCAAAATGATTTTGAAGATTAGAAATGTTACCTACTCACATGGTCAGAGTTGCTGTCTGACAGGAGGCTGCACTCCTGACACCTTCTGGATGGGCAGTGGGCCTCCCCCAACCCTCCTAATGGAGCAGCCGTATCATCATGGCTGCTTCCTCTAGAGCCCACCAAACAGCAGCAGCAAAAAATAATGTATTAAATATATACCCTAACCATTTTTCTCCTCTTACATCCAACAATGGAAAGAGGATTTAAACAAAAAAGAAAAGAGAATTCGCAAGAGAAACGCTATAACCTCTGTAGGATCATTCAACATTCATTGAATGACAACTTCCATTTCCTTCTATCCTGTGCTAGTCACTATGCTAAATTCTGGAGATACAAAGATGAATAAGAAAGGTGTTACTTGGCAGAAACAGTATTGCTTAGCTCATACAGAGCTGGGTTTGTATCCTGACTCTGACACTAGCTGCATAACCTTAGGCAAGTTAAAGTCAAGTTCTAAAGAAACTGGGCAAAGACCAACTAGGAGGTTTTGACAGTAATCTAGGACGCAGATGACAAGGGCCTGAAAGTAGAGAGCTGTGATGGTGACAGGAGACATGAGAGACATTTAGAGACATTTAGACTTCCTGGTTATGAGAAGAGGCTCTCCAATCAGACTGTGTAGGCCTGAATCTTAGCTCTGCCACTGCTAGCTGTGTAACCTGGGGCAAGTTAATGTCTTCCGGCAAGGTGCAGTGGCTCATGCCTATAATCCCAGCACTTTGGGAGGCTGAGGTGGGTGGGTGGGTCACCCGAGGTCAGGAGTTCAAGACCAGCCTGGCCAACATGGCAAAACCCTCTCTCTACTAAAAATACAAAAATTAGCTGGGCATGGTGGTGGGCGCCTATAATCCCAGCTACCTGAGAGGCTGAGGCAGGAGAAGCGCTTGAACCCGGAAGATGGAGGTTGTGGTGAGCCAAGATCACGCCATTGCACTCCAGCCTGGGCAACAAGAGCGAAACTCCGTCTCTCGTAAACATTCAATAAGATAAACACACTTTAAAAAGTGCCTGGTACATCCCAAGTGTTCAATAATGTCAGTTACTAATATCATACTAGAAAGAGAATTTACAAAAACCAGTGTCGAATTATACATGGTGTATGAGTATGTGTGTTATTGGCAAAGAAGTAAGGAGCAAATACTTGAGATCAATTCTGAGACTTAAAGCTCAGTAACTAAATTACTAATAATACCATTAGTGGAGGCAGGAAATTTGGGAAAAGAGTCAGAATGGGGAGTGATAGGAAAACAAGTTTGATTTCAAAGAATTTAGATAAATTGAGTTTGAGAGAACAGTTGGTGATCTTTTCAAATTTTTTTTATTATTATTATTTTTTGAGACAATGTTTCACTCTTGTTGCCCAGGCTGGAGTGCAATGGGGCGATCTTGCCTCACTGCAACCTCTGCCTCCCAGGTTCAAGCGGTTCTTCTGCCTCGGCCTCCCGAGTAGATGGGATTAAAGGCACCCACCACCACACCTGGCTAATTTTTGTATTTTTAGTAGAGACGGGGCTTCACATGTAGGCCAGGCTGTTCTCGAACTCCTGACCTCAGGTGATCCATCCGCCTCAGCCTCCCAAAGTACTGGGATTAAAGGCGTGAGCCACCATGTCCGGTCAACAGTCGGTGATCTAACAAACAATTTGAACTACAGCTCTAGAGACAAATGAGCACAGGTGGTGACTCAAGTCCCAGCACTAAATGAGGCTGCCCAAAGTACATACAGCAACATAGTAAGCCTAGGATGGAACCACAGAGAACAGCACAATGAGGGCAAATGGAGGAAGAAATTAAGGCAAGGACTGAGAAAAAATGTCAGATCTAAAAAATGCTGAGCCATAGCTGTCATAGTAGCTAGTTTATATCATCTTCCTCTAGGACTATGGACTTTAGTATTCCCAGCTGTAGTTCAGTATTGCTTGAATTCTTTTCTTTCATGTTTAACTTTTTTTGACACATAATAATTGTACCTATTTATGGGGTACATGTGATATTTTAATACATCCATATGATGTATAATGATCAAATCATGATGATTTGGATATTCATCACCTCAAACATTTATCATTTGTGTTGGGATACCTGAATCCTGGATGGCTCAACTTCCTTCATCATCGATTTGTTTACATGTCCATTTTCCCCACTAATCCATGAGCTGCTGCAGCTCAAAAATTGATTACTAACATTTATATATTTAGCATAGAGCATAGAATCTGAATTGCAAATTCTGTCAAATAAATAAATAAGGAAAACTCAAGGAAGAAACTAACAATCCCATCACATTGTACTTGGCCATCTTCCTGCCAAATCAAGAGAAGTATGTCAGTGACTTTCTAATAGTCACATACATGCAATCTGGGCTTCGAGAACACCCTCTGCAATTCTTCCAGGCCTAATCCATTTTCCATGGAGTTTTTTCCCAGAAGCCCTTCTTATAAAATAGGTCTGGAGAGTTCTAAGACTGGAGTGGAGGCCTGGCACTCACACATCTTGGGTTGTCAGCCCACCCTGCATTGAATTTAGGTTATTAAAATCTACAGATTTTAACACTATGCTCTAACACTAGTCTCAGATGGATAGAGAAGGAAAGAGAATTATGTAAGAGGTGAAAAAGATGTAAAGGTAATGAAAAGGACTAGATGAAGCTAAAAAGAGAAAAGCTAATGGGAGGGGTGGACGAATGATGATGATTTGGAGTAAGACCTAAATTTTAACCCTGGCTCAGACACTTACAAACGCTATCACCTTGAGCAAGTTACTAGCTGTACTTACCTCCTTATCTGTAAAATAAGCTTAAGATAATTCCTAACTCCTAGAGTTTTGCTGACTAAAGAAAATAACGCATAGCTTACTGCTGTTAATATTGGAAAGCAGAAGATCGTGAAGAAAACGATTATTTAGCAAGCGCTGGACCCATGACAATTACAATTTTAGGCGTATTCCTTTATTTCACTTAATCTTCCTGCGACCCTCTGCGCTGGTCCTGCGTCCGTTTCACTACACAAAAAGCTGAAGCCCAGACCCGATAAGCAACTCTACAAGATCTCCCGGCCATGGGTGGCGAAGCCTGGATTCGAACCCGGGTCTAGGACAGGATTCTGTGGCGCGAGAGGCCACCTTCCAATTCCGTCCCGAAATCCTTGAACCTCCCGGTACCCGGTGGCCTCTCCACCTCCACGGGGCCCCCAGGGTCACTTTCCCAAGTCCTGGGTCCCCATCCCTTACCTGTGGACGCACCACGACTCCAGGTGGCGCAGCGCCCGCTTATAAAGCCGCAACACCTTCTGCTGATGGGTCAGGTAGACCCCCGACACCGATAAGGCCATCACTGCGCTGACCTTCCCCGGCCGCGGGGACAGCCGGGAATCCGTAGGCCTGCGGCAGCTGACGGAACAACGCCAGCCGGAAGGGTGGAGCAGCCGGCGGCCACTTCCGCTTCCGCCGGGGAGGTCTCCCATCCGCGGTCATGGGTCGCTTCAAGTTTGTCGGTAAGAGGAGCGTTTTCCACGCCCTTGGGTCTTTTTGACTTGTCCCGGGCGTCGGTCACCAAGGTCACAGGACCCAGGAATTGCGCCCTCCGGCTTTGTAAGGGTTGAAAGGGCCGCTCAGTGGAAAAGGGCGCGGGGAGGTTTCTGGGTGCTGTTAATGTTCTGGTTCTTGATCTAGGTCCTGGATTCACGAGGGTGTGTTTATTTGTAAAAATTAACAAGCCAAGCCGTACAGTTATGATTTTTGTGCTCTTTTCAACATCTGTAATGTATTCTGTTTTTAAAAAAGAGAGAAAACTCCAAAAAGGCCAATCACTGTGTTCCCATTCATCCCACGTGCACCTCCCGGCCCTTGGATGACCGCTTTTAGGGACCAATTCACTCAACCTTTCATTCGTTCATATCATAGTTAATGAGCGCCTCAAGTGAGCCTGGCACTGGCCTAGAAACACAGGGCACAAAGCTCTCAGTTCTGCTGTCATCACCATCTAGTGGAGAAACTAGAGAACACAAGTAGTGGGGAGAAAAACAAAATCTGTACTTGGCAAGTACAGTGATCCAGTCAGTATCAGTAGAACAAGAGAGCGAGAATGCTGCCGGGATTTCAATGGGCATGGTCCTCGTCTTTGTGGGGTTTCCAGCTACTTGAAGGTGGGAAATGACAGCGATCACACCTCTGCTTTAGCACGGTAATGCTGATAGCTATTATGTAGCTTTTGTGGGAAATAGGGAGAGGTAGGGAATCACTTCAAGACTTAAACAAGGGTAATGGAAAAGAGAGAGAAATGGAAGAGATGTGTGCAGCATTTAGCAGTCGAGTGTTCATGGCCGGTAGTAGAGAGTGAACAAAGATGACTCAGGGTTTGGAAAAATACTGAAATATGAAATGGAAGCATGACTAGTTTGGCGGTGAGGAGAGGTACCCAGGTCCATTTGGGTTAAGTTTGAGATAATTATAGGACATCCAGGTAGAGCTATCTGGGCAAGTGGGAATGTGGTCTGGCAATCAAGAGTTAAGGATTATACATTTACATCTGAGAGTTATTTAAGCAGTATTTTTTTTCAAAGACATTGTGCTAAGTCCTGTGGAACCGTAAAATCTAGTGGTGCAGTTTTCAGACTGGAGACCTAAGACCTATGTACTGTACAGTCAAAAGCAAACGCAGGAAAGAATATGTTAAGTGCCAGGAAAAAGGTTTTGAAATTGCTGTGGGAAAGCCTGGAGTAGGGATTTGGGGAGGGGTCCTCAAATAAGACATTGCCGTGTCTTAGCCTTTCCATCCTAACGTTTGATATAATTGATGAGGGAGATGGAATAAAAAGCCATGAAGTCCTCCATAAAGAAAGGCCACATAACTTTTTAAAAGTGTGTTTATGTTATACAACTAAATCCTTGCCTCAAGTTAATGTTTTAAATCCATCCTCCATGTAGACTCCATTTTGGTGTATCCAAAACTAAAATCAGCTACATGTTTCTTTTGCTTCAAATCTCTCATTTATTCTCCTCAGGATAGTCTAAGTACTTTGACACCATACAAAGCCCTTCTATTGTCCAGTCCTGCCCACTTTTCTAGCCCATCCCTGGACTGCTCTATGAACACTTGTGCATGCTGTTTGTTACCTCTGACAAGGTTTTAGAGTGGCAGTTTGGGGCCAAAATATTCCCTCTGTCTACCAACCCTGTTGCCTGTCTGCCTACCTGCCCTGCCTACCTACCTACCTTATTCCTTAAAACTTATACCACATTATTTGTAATTAAATATGATCTGTCTTTCCCACTAGATCAAACTCTTAAGGCAGATACGCTGGTATGGTATTTATATTTTTTTCCTAGGGGCGTAGTACAATGACTGTTTGGGCAAGTATGAATGAGTGGCTTTAATGCTAAGGTGATAAGAAAATTAGTAAAGGGATTAGCACCAGATAAAATAAGCAAGAAAAGACTTCTTAGAGAAGGAGACTTTATTGGAATAAATAATTGGAATAAATTTTTTCTGCATAGTCTCCTTTAGCCCCGCTCTCCTAAAGTAACCATATTAAAAGTTTAAAGTATAGCCTTCCCTAATTTTTTAATAGATTGTTATGCAGATTCATAAAAATACAACATATCAAGGTTTTTTTTTTTTTTTTTTTCCTTTTTAAAACAGAAATGAGATTGTATTATGCATTCTATCCTTGGTATATGACTTACTCTGATATTTAATCTTTCAGTTTGTGTCATTTAAAAAAATTCTGTCCATGAATCGCTAGACTAAATTCTTAGCCTAATAATGAGTTCTGAACAAATACTTTGAAAAACACCATATTAAATCTCTGGAAGATTGGTCCATGAACAAGCTTCACATGGGACAATTGCATGAAAAACTAAACCAGTATTATGAAAATTACCTTAGATTTTGGTTTAAGACAGCTGACCATTATAATTCTTTCTACATTTCTCTCTTTTCTACTTGCATAACAAGTGACTGCCCCTTAGAACTATACCCCAACAGTGGGGGTTTTTGTTTTGAGACAGGGTCTTGCTCTGTCACCTAGGCTGGAGTATAGTGGCTTAGATCATGGCTCCAGCATTGACCTCCTGGGCTCAAGTGATCTTCCTGCCTCATCCTCCCAAGTAGCTGAGACTAGAGACGCTCACCACCACACCAGGCTAATTTTTTTTTTTGTAGAGACGGTGTCTTGCTATGTTGCTCAGGTTGGTCTTGAATTGCTGGCCTTAAGCAGTCCTTCCACCTCCACCTCCCAAAGTTGTGGGATTACACATGGACCCACCGGCCAGCATGAGAATTTCTTTTTTTTTTTTTTTTTTGAGACGGAGTCTCGCTCTGTCGCCCAGGCTGGAGTGCAGTGGCTGGATCTCAGCTCACTGCAAGCTCCGCTTCCCGGGTTTACGCCATTCTCCTGCCTCAGCCTCCCGAGTAGCTGGGACTACAGGCGCCCGCCACCTCGCCCGGCTAGTTTTTTTTTTGTATTTTTAGTAGAGACGGGGTTTCACCATGTTAGCCAGGATGGTCTCGATCTCCTGACCTTGTGATCCGCCCATCTCGGCCTCCCAAAGTGCTGGGATTACAGGCTTGAGCCACCGCGCCCGGCCGAGAATTTCTTTAGCCCAACTTACACTCTTTTCTTTCTCCACAAGTGGAATTTTTTATATTCTATTCCCTGGGTGTTATTTACAAACTCTTCCACTCTCAAAAATACTTCTACCTGCAACTATTATATGCCCAAATTTCTACTGCATTGATCTTAGATTAATTACATAGTACACAAAAAAATGAGAACTATCTGTGCAAGAAGAAAATGCAAAATACAAACAACAGTGAAAATAAAAACATCACATTCCATTCCTGATATTGTTTAGATATTTGTCCCCTCCAAATCTCATGTTAAAATTTGCTGTCCAACGTTAGGGTGGGTCCAGTGGGAGGTGTTTGGGTCACTTCCCACCATCCATCTCAGGGGGTTGGATCCCTCATAAAAGCCTTGATGACCTCCCTGTGGTAATGAGTTCACACTGGTTCCCCTTCCCTTTCCACCAGGGTTGGAAACTTACTGAGATCCTCCCAAAAGCAGATGCTGGTGTCATGCATCTTGTACAACCTGCAGAACCATGAGCCAAATAAACCTCTTTTCTTTATAAATTACCCAGTCTCAGGTGTTCCTTTATAGCAGTGCAAAAGCAAATTAATATAATTCCTCCAAATCACACATAACACTTCCATATCTATCTTTCCAGATCTTCTGTAGGCATACCAAACAAAATAAGATCATACTGAGGCTACTCTTTTGTAATCTGCTTTTTTCAATCACAGTCTCCACCTTTCTATTTCAGGAAATTTTCATCTTAACTAATACCAAAACCATACTCAGACTTTTCCTGTTGTTCCAAAAATGTCCCTTGGTTGTCATGTCCAAAATAGTATCCCATTTAGAGCCACACATTTGGTTGTTCCTTAAGTTTTTAAATCAAGTGCAGAGGTTTGCAAACTTTTTCTTTAAAGGGCCATATAGTAAATACTTTAGACTTTGAGGGCCATGTGATCTCATTGCAGCTATTCAACTCTGCCCTTGTGTGTACTGTGATGTAATAATAAATACATATTTGTTCTGTGCTCCCATTCCTTTGTGCACAACTCCTGAAACCTTTGGAATCTCCTAAGTGCTTTTTGTATGCTACTAAGATGACTGATGACTGGGGGCTCCTGGATAGCCTCAGGATGGGGGTTTGCCTAGGAAAACCGATCATGTGATTAGAGAGTTGGAAGTTTCAGTCCCTCCCACCCACTCCCACCTCTGAGGAAGGGGAGAGGAACTGAAGGTTGAGTTGTTCACTAATAGCCAGTGATTTAATCAATCATACCTACATGGTGAAGCCTCTAAAAACCCATACATGTCTCTTATGTGTCTCTTCCACATGGTCGTTTTTGAGCTGCATCTTTTTATAATGAATGGGTAATAAGTAAAGGGCTTTCCTGAGTTCTGTGAGCTGGTCTAGCAAATGATCAAACCTGAGAAGGGGGTTGTGGGAACCTCTGATTGTAGCCAAGTTGGACAAGTTGTGGGTAACCTGGGAACCTACTGCTTGTAATTGGCATCTGGAATGGGAGGAGTCTTGTGGGACTGAGCCCTTGACTTCTGCCGTCTGATGTTATCTCCAGGTAGATAGTGTGAGAATTGAGTTAAATTGTAGGTCACCCAGCTGGTGTCAGAGAATTGGTTGTTGGGAGAGGAAACCCCACACCTACGTGATGTCAGAAGTGAATCTTCACACCTGTAATCCGAGTACTTTGGGAGGCCAAGGCGGGAGGACTGCTTTAGCCCAGGAGTTCAAGACCAGCCTGGGCAACAAAGTGAGACCCATCTCTACTTAAAAAAAAAAAAAAAAATGAAGTATTCAGAGTATTGTGAGTATGAGAATACAGTTTTCCTATCTCACACCTTGTCATTCAAAAGCAGGTGATAGACAGTATGTAAGTAGGTGTGGCCATGTTCCAGTAAAACTTATGGTCACTGAAACTTGAAGTTCTTATAATTTTGATGTGTCACAAAATATTATTTTGATTTTCTTCAACTATTTAAAAATGTAAAGTCATTCTTAGCTTAGAGGCAAACAAAAGTAGGCAGTGGCTTGTGGGCCTTAGTTTACCAACCACTTGATCTAGCGCATTTCTTTTTTTAATGGCACTGACTTGCCAAAGCAGCTGGGCTAATTGTCCCTGTGAAATAAAAATAAAATTCTAAGCCCCCTAAACTGGCTGAACAGACCCCCCTTCTTTGGCCAAGTAGACTCCAGAAAAACATGAAAAACAAATTCCCAAACATGATAAGATGGTCATGGTCTCCTTCCTTACTAACAAATACCAGACTTTTTTCCTAAAAGTTAAACAGAAACCAGCCTTGGAAAAACAAAGAATGGAAGACTTGCTCCTCTGCTGACTTCAGCCAACTGCCTGACATTGTGACCAGCCTCCCCTCCTTTTTTGCAGTTTCACCATGACAGCTGACCAGTTTCACGAGGCATTCCTTCCTGTACCGAGGGCAGTCACCACCCCCTCAGCCCTCATCAAGGCTACCAAAAAAATACTCCTGAGATTCCCCTCATTGTATATGTTTCTCATTCGATTTAGGCCCTTTGCACCTGTCCCCTCACTCAGCATCTTTAAGCCAGTTGATTGACCTCCTATGAGAT